TAGAGTTCTAACCCTTGCTATCAAAAGAAAGTTCTGGCACTTGTAATGTGTTACATCTAATTTAGGTCCTGGCCAAAGGGGTCCTCTGGGAATCCATAAATTTAGTCACATATAAATAATATGTATACATAAAAATAATATTATAAACACTAATCATATCCAATTTACATATTTAAGAATATAAACATAAGGGTATGTGTCTTTCTGTTCATGCGTAGTTATATAAATGTAATTAAAGATAAGATGAATCTCAGAGATCAAAAGTGGTTATAGGAGACATTGAAAAGAGAAAGAGATGGAGAAATTGTATAATTATAATTTATATAAAATATATTAATAAAACTGTACCTTTAGAAATACAGAGTAATGAATAAACATGTCTAACTTTGTGATGAAATATAGCTGATAATATACTCTAAATATATACTACAATCTACTTCTTTGCCATGTCTTACAGCTTGTTGGCCTCTGACAGACTATTCTAGAAATACCCCAAAAGAATATTTAAGCTTATTATCCAAGTTCATTGTCATTTATTTATTGTCTTACAGACATAAAAAACAAATGCTATTGATTCAGGAATGAGTCTTGCAAAATTAAAAATATCAGAAAAAAAGGCAAAACAACTTGTCAAATTGAACATATTAAGCATTTTCAGAAACTTCTATGTCAACTATTCAACAATAAAGTGAAACAGTACAACACAATAAATATGTATTTGTGATTTGTGGTAGGTAAAAATTGTGAGGGTGTAGGGCTGGAGAGATTGCTCAGAGGTGAAGAGTGTGTTCTGAACATGCAGAGGACCCAACTTTGGTGTAGGAGGGTCTTCTTTCTATGTGTTACTTTCATTGGTGAAATAAAGAGACTGCCTTGGCCTAGTTGATAGGGCAAACTCAGGTAGGTGGGGAAGACAGAACAGAAATCTTGGAGGAAGAAAGCACAGTCAGAGAGCCACCAGGGAGCCAGCCACCAGGTCAGACATGCTTAATCTTTCCAGGTAAGACATAACCCCGTGGTGGCATACAGAGTATTGAAAATGGGTTGAATCAAGATGTGAGAGTTAGCCAATAAGAGATTAGAAATAATGGGGCAGGCAGTAATTTAATTAATACAATTTGGTGTGGTTATTTTTGGTATAAACTAGCTGGGTATCAGGGAAGCAGCCGACCGCTCTCATTACAACACAATGTCAGTTCCCAATGCCTACACTAGAAGGCTCAGAATTGCCTTTGACTCCAGCTCCAAGGCATCTCAACAGTGCCCTTCTCTAGCCTAACAAGTCACCAGCCCTCACATGCACATACTCACATATAATTTAAAATAAATTTTTAAAAAATATTAATGCTACATCTTAAAAGAACTTTCAGTTAAAGCAAAAATATACTTTTTTATTTCATTGATTTTTGAAAAGAAGTGGAATTTTATTATTCTATAAACTAGACAATTAATCAAGTAAAATATTGAATAATTATAATCCAATATGGGATTATTAACAGCATTATCATTTTGATAGACACATTAGGATTGCTGTTATAACATGACTAATATTCATTGGAAATTTTGCAAAGAACAAAGGAGGCATTGCATCTCATATTTAAAAAGCAACAACTTGCAAACATTTAATAAAATAATCAGGTAGTTGACTATTTGGATGAAAAGGTGTTGGGTCCAGGTTGCAACTCAACTGTAATCATGGCAGATTCTGTGGCTGAACAACTTATAAATAAACAATTTTCGAAAAGCTGTGTTCTTTTGAGACTATGGTAAAATGGGGAGTGTTTGTGAACCCTCCTATGGAGACCGCCCCTTTAATCCAAGCACTTGTGGGGCACTCTTCGGTAGATCTTTAAATTGAAAACCAGCCTGCTCTACAAAGTGCATTCCCAACTAGTCAAGGTTACAGAGAAAACATGTCTGGAAGAAAATTCATAAACACGGGGTGAAAGCGGACGTGCTATATTGGTTAGTCTTCCGTGCTGTGGTTAGATAGTTAATTCAAGACTCTCATGACATCCTGTATGTTTTATTCCGGCTCTGCCTCTTGTGACCTAAAGAAGCACCATGCTCTCTGTGCTCAAAAGCATTGTGTGGATTGGTGAGTCCTACTGGGAATACATGGGCTGGGATGCCAGGGTGGAAATATTAGCCTAGGAGACTGGAACTGACCACAGCAGAAACACTGGCTTCCATGGTGGATATTGGTTAACGAGTTCATCTTAACAAATCAGTCTCTAATTCTAATGTATGGAGGCCCAACAGGGATAAGGAGGTCAGATGGCTAGGCTGTTGAAAGGAGATAGATCACCCATCCTGAGTTTTTCTTTTCAGGCTCCTTCCTAGTCCTGAGGATGTTGGCACAAGCAGGTGAGTCCATTGTTAAAATCTTGAGTTACTACCCATCCCAATAAATAGGTTTTATTTTAGCAGGAGATCAGAATTACAGTGTGTTGTCTTGTGGCCTCTGTGAATGACTCCTTGGAAAATCTTATGAACTGTAAAGTTATGACTCCAGAATCCAGCCTCTCAGATCTGTCTGAGATTGTCCCAGACACTGCCCCTGGATGAGAAAGGCATCAACTTTGTTCAGATAAGCATTTTTTCATCTTTTATAGACAGGATATCTCTGTTTAGCTCTAACTATCTTAGAAGTCACTTTGTAGACCAGACTGACCATGAAATCAGATATTGGCCTGCCTCTGCCAACCAAGAACTATGATTAAAGGTACGGTTCAAAAACATGGAGATTAATCAATTGTTTTAAAATCTACTTTGCAACACTCTAACCTAACCACCTCCACATATTTTGAAATTTTGATGCTGTAATTTATGATTATGTATGTTTGTCACTTGGCAAACCATTGAAGTTACTGTTTTTGTCTTCAAACATATATACAAATGATAAAATTTGTATATCACCAGCACAGTATTGATACCTCTTATTTTGGCTTGTGAACTATTCTACATTCTCTACAAGAAGATGTTTCCACGTAACTCATTAGCAGCCTTTTCTTTCTGCTTGAATAACTTCACAGCATTTCCTGTGCTTATGTTGACTGAACTCTGCTACAATTTTTCTGAGAAATTCATTAACTCTATTTCTGAAGGTCAGTATTGTTGATATTTATAGGCAGGGTTTTTTTTTCCACTCACCTCATTGAATGCATCATCCTTATTTCTTAGGACCTGTAGATATTTGCTCTGAAGTCTGACAGTAAGTGTACTGGAAGTCCCTCATTTGGTTTTTACTTCTTTTTTCATTCTGATATCAGGATCTCTTATGATAAAATATGTTCTGTGATTCTGATTATTTCAATTCAATTTCTTGTGTGGTTGAACCTTTTTGGACCTGATCATATTCATTTTACTTGTTTTCATCAGTGTGATATCATTGCTTCTCTTTGTTGTTTCTGTTTTTTAATTAGTTCTGTTATTTCTTTCTTTTAATATGTTAATGATTCTTTTATAATTTTATACAATGTGTTTTAATTACATGTATCCCCCTGTCTAAACTCATCCTAGTTCTATCTCCTCCCTTACACACCCAAGAAAGCCTCTATAATCTTTTATTCTTTCTTGAATTTTTATGACTGATAATTTGGTATTGAATGGTATCAAAAAGAAATCTTGTCATTCTTCATTGTTTTTCATTCAGGTTCTGTATTTATGCATAAGACTATGTAATGCCTGATCTAGCCTCACTCATTCTCCTGTTGTATCAAGTATACTACTGAATTTTTTTTTTACTATTTAGTCTAACTTGAGAATGAACTTCAGAAAACTGGTTTCAATCCTGAACAGGATGACCTTGATATCAATTTTGCTTGTTTAACTAGCTTACTTCTTCTGTTTTAAGATCATATGTTGTTTCTACCTGGGATTCTGGATCAGTAAGATCACTGGACATACTTCACAATCAAAGCCAGTCTCTCATTGACATCCTTGATCACCTCTACTGAGGAGTGTTGCAAGATATTTATACTGGCTGGAGTCTATATACTCTTCACTGAAGTGTTTTGCTATTTGTCTCTTTCCTGGTGAACATACACCATTAAATAAAGAACAACAACCAAGATTCATGGGAGGGCTGACAATCATAAGTTGAAATCATTTTTATCATTAAGTGACCCAAGTGTCAGAGAAAACTATACTCTTAAAGTTTCATATGCAAGAAGCCTTGAAATGGTGTGGAAACTATATGTCTGCCTCTAAGCTATCCCTATCCCTCTTAGTATAGAAAATGAATGAGTATGACCTCTGTAAATGAATGTGTGTACAACAGTGCATAAGGGATAGTGTAGTTAGAAGGACTCATTCCTCCTATTTTGTTATAAATTTTCTTTATTTTTGGTCTGACTCACCCTCATTCCTGAGATCTAGCATGCTTACAATTTAATTTTAATCTGAGTATTGTTAGATTTCTAGAGACAGCAAAATTGAATCAAGAGCATACCTTTTCTGCTTTCTTAGTTTCCACAGTTTCCATCTGTCTTCTCACAGATTAATCTTTTCTATTTTCATCTGATGAATTTCTTTTTAGATTACATTTTATGACCAAATTTACTTCATTATTTTATACTTACAAATAATTCTCAGTTAATGTATCTTAGCATAGAATGATATACATTATGTTGTGGTAGTTAGGGGACACTCATTACATGAAAATGACACTATTGTGTTTATGACTTTTCTTGGGAATATATAACTTGCATGCAAATAAACTGGTGTTAGATACCATCTCTTAAAATTCAGCAGGACCAGTTTCTGCAGAAATAGAGAGATTCAATTTTGAACTTTGCAAGTTTCAACTTTCTAGTACATATAATGTTTGTTTACCTCCTGATTCCCCTGAGTATTTCAGCTTCTAACTCCGAAACAGGGATGTTGCAATTCAGAGAAACTTGTTGTACAAAGGACCCTGAAGAAGTGAAAATTGGAAACTCAAATGTCAGGAATACAGGGGGATCATGAAATATTTTACTCTGTGCATCTTCCCACAGGAAGTCATGACAAGCCTTCACTGTCTGCCTGGCCAAGCCCTGTAGTTCCTAAAGGACAGCATGTGGAAATTCATTGTGACTCTAATAAGCATAATACATCCAGGCTGTACAAAGAACATGGAGAACCTTTCCCTCAGATCCATGACAGAATATTCCAAAAGAGACTTCTCCTGGGTCCTGTGACACAAGCATATGCAGGTACCTACAGATGCTATGATTATAATAGTCAATGTCCTAGTGAACTCTCATCACACAGTGACCCTCTGGAGATCATAATTTCAGGTCAGAGATCATGTTTGGATTGTCATTTCATTTCCTCAAATCTCAAGACAATAGAATTTTCAGGATTAATTTTAGGCAGAGTTTCAGCATCACAAAGTAATATTCAACAATGGCAGTTGGATACCTTGGTGAGCACACCATAAACCCAAGGACATGTATTTTCTTCTGCCTGAGACTTCATGAATGTTAAGACAGTGTTAAGTAGTGTTAAGTCAGGGATAATTTGGGCTTGAAGATGGAATTCAGGTATTAACAGTTTGACATCTGGATAGGAGAATAGCCTTAATTATCCAGGCTCTATAGAAACACAAGGGACCATAAAATTAAATGAGGAAAAATACTGTTATAAGAAGAACAAAACATGAGGGAGACATCCTAATGCTAACTCTTACAGTAGAGGAAGGGTCCGAGTGCCAAGAAAAGCATGAGGCCTCTAGAAACTGGAAGGCACAAAGTAATGAATACTTACCTATTGATTTCAGCAGTAACATGTCCCTGCAGATCACTTATGCTATTTGGGCTTGTTTCAGAGTTCTGATCTTCACAACACTTGTGTTCTTTTTAAGAATCATATTTGTGATGAATTGTTATGATAGCAATTGGAAACTAAGACCAGAGTCAATGTCAAGGCCAATTTAAGAACTGGGCAAGGAAATGTAGAGGTCACTAAGTCAGGAAAGCAATACATTCATTTATTGTAGGAAATAATACTCATGATGCCATATTTCAATAGCCTTACAGAATTTTGAACCATAGAAAATGCCAGAAGAGATTTCATAATACCTATCTTCACTACTAATTATCTTCCCTTGCCAATGATTATAGTCATTCAAAAGGATCATTAAATGGACTCATAAAAGAACCCAGCCTAAAGCTTGCCATGTTTTCTGCCTTCCCATAGAAAAGGGCAATAGTGGCTCCAATAGAATGGTTCAGGAGACACTTTATCCCAATAAGCCAGTGAGAAAATACTGTACTGCTACCAGATTCACAGAAGTCAGAAATGATCAGAGAAAGATGAAAAAGTTTGTGTAAAAAGTTGACATAAACACAGACAAGGATACTAGGACACTGACAGGAAGAACAGGTTAAGGTAGAGAATTATAGATTTTCTGGGATATATAGATTGGGGTCAGGTTCTTACTCACTCTCTCTATTTCTACAGGAATCTACAGGAATCCTTTCCTATTGGTCCTATCAACTCCCCTGGTAAAATCAGGAGAGAAGATGACCCTAGAGTGTCGTTCAGAGATTATGTTTGACACTTTCATTTTGACTTCTCATAGAAAGCAAATAATCAATGGCTCTTTCCAGCTTCCTGCAGGATCTTATCATGGGGGTTCCCATGCCATCTTCTCAATAGGTCCTGTGACACCTGACCATGCTGGTGTTTACATATGCTATGGTTCTTATAACAAAACACCATATGAGTGGTCTGAATCCAGTGACCCTGTTGACATAATGATCACAGGTAAGAGGGTGTTACCTGGTCCTCATCTTCTCTGTGATATAGAACTTCTATAGACTTGAAGTCCTGGAAGATGGTGGGGAAAATGAAGGTATCCTTAGTAAAACTTAGAAAAAGGCATCCTTGGTAAATATGTCACTGACACGGACAATGAAAACTGACACACAAGAGACACCATTGGTTATAATATAAAGCACAGATACACAGATGTCAATTGAATCATAATTAGAAGTAAAGAGAAAGGGGTAACTCAGTGAAATTGATATGATCAGAGACAATGACATCCTTCTACTAATATTCAATGACATCAACAGTTCAGAATTTTGTTTACTTCCTACCTTTTCAATTCATCTGTCAGAGACATAAACATGTCATTTTTCTGATATGAGTTTATGTGTTGAGTGGGGCTGGTTTTTAATTAATATGAGGTCTGGATAAAGATGGCACACATAAAATTTTACCTAGTTTGACAGTTCTTCAATTTCTATGTTTGACTGACTATTCATCAAAAAATAGCATAACCATGGGTAATTGAGCACACCACCAATTGCTGTTTGTTCTCTGCATTTTCAAACTTTTGTCAGTCTATGTTCCCAAGTTATTCAGACATTCTAGGATAGGTGAAAAAATCTATAACAGTTCCCCCTGGGATACACAGAAACAAATAATACAGAGACATGGAAATACAAAAAAAATAGTAAATAAGACAGAGAGACTGAGAGAAAGATGCAACGATAGAAAGGGCTGAGGAAAATGTAAGCATGGCATTTGTGGGAGGAGAAAACCTGCAAAAGTCTTAAGCTTGAGTGGAAAATTTGAAAGTAGAGGTGGAGAAAAATGGCAAATATCAAATATTTTAAAGCAGAGATAGGGAGGCCAATAGGAGATTACACTTGATCATTATACACACAAAGTATTAAGTGAGAGAAGATCATCATGTCCCCTGTTTAAGGAAAACAAACACCACATTAATAGAATATCCTGCATTTGGAAAAGAGATTCATTAACACATGTAGAAAAAAATAATTACTTAGAATCAGGTCAGATTCTACATTTTTAATATTCAAAGGATGAGAAAGTTGTAGGTCATGAAATTGGGAAATAACCATGAGAATGGGAAGGAGATTAACAAAGAGGGATGTGTAAAGAGGAAGAATACATATGCCATTGAAGTCAAAATGCAGAGAAGAACAAGCAGAGGTATAAGGGAAGGAATTGGGTAGAAAATGAAAAAAATATACTATATGAGGACGTTTTTATGAAGTACATTGATTTATATGCTAACAAAATAACAAGTACATCTAATTAAACTCATTGTTTAACAGAATATTTGGAAAAACTGAAAGTATAAAGAATAATAAAGGAATGGAATCAGGGAAGGTTGGGGGACAAGAGAGAATGATAGCATAAATGTGATTATAACTACACACACACACACACACACATATATATATATATGTAACTACACTAAAAGGAAAAGAGGCCATGAAATAATGTAATTATATTCTAATTCCAATTTTTTAATGAAAACAAGTATAAAAATACATTACATATTTGAATGTTCAATAATGAAGCCAAATGCTTCTTAAGTTAAATATCTGTTTATAAAACAAATATAAAAAGAAAGATGGTTGAACCTATGCATATAGAGGTAGAAACTGTCAAAAATAAAATTGAGGCAAATGTATGATTATAGGATTGATGTTAAGTCAAAGAATCAGTAAGATAATATAGAAGAAAAGTGAGAGATAGAAAGAATTAGGGAGGTAGAAAAAAGAACACATGAATGTTGGGCTTGAGAGAGAGTGATCACAGAAATGGAAGCAGGGAGACAGAACTCTGAGGAGTGATTGAACACTGGTAAAGAACTGCCCCTCTAACTGTCTCTTCCTCCTTTCTTCCAGGTTTGTACAAGAAACCTTCTCTGTTAGCCACGAGGGGTCCTGTGGTGATGTCAGGAGAGAACATAACCTTGTCCTGCACCTCTGACCATCAGTTTGACATGTTCCATCTGTTCATGGAAGGGGTGCCTCAGGGACATGGGCTGTCTGCAGAGCAGAGCCACAGTGGGACATTCCAGGCCAACTTCCTACTTGTTACTATGAACCAGTCTGGGACTTATAGGTGCTATGGCTTTTTCAGGAACTCTTCCCATGTATGGTCATCCCCAAGTGACCCACTGCACATTTCTGTCACAGGTAAAATGTCTTGCCTATTCATCATGTCTTTTGACTAATGAAACTAAGTAAATACACATATACATAATCTGTATATATATATATGTGTGTGTGTATGTACATATATATAAATATATATAATACACACTTAACAATATTAATCAAAGACAAAGAGGGTATCAAGATAAGGTAGTGTGTAGGAAAACTTGAAGGAAGGCTACCTGGGTGGAGCTGGAGAGACGACAGGGATCAGGTAAGAGATACAATTATATTTAATTTTAAAACTTTTTTATTTATTTTGAGAATGAATATCATATCACAAAATAATAGACAAGGCATTTCCTCAACAATCCTTATCCTGATTGTTCAACCACACTGGAATGTGTAGGTCTCCAGGGAGAATTAGAAAGAGGTCAGGATAGACTCATTAGGGATAAGATTTCAATCAGTTTGAGTAGGTCAAGGATGGAGCAGTCCTGATCTCTGCCTCACATAGATATCTCCATAGTATTCCCATTGACTCATCACAATTTGAAAACAAAATTTCAAAGCAAACCATCTAATGGCATCATATAACACTAAAGACAGCACTAAGAGGTGGAGTGGGTGCTACTTACTATCCAAATCCAAAGGACTTTCGAAACAGGGAAGGCACAAAGTCTTTGATGAACTTTCTCTCTCTCCTCTCCCCTTCCCTAGTAAGGTCATCAAGAAACTGTACTTCATGCATCGAATCAGACTCCAAAACTAGTGAGTAATTTTTCCTCTTCTCTGTCGTGGAAATGTAGGGACCAAAAACTCTTGGGTTCACGTTTTGACTCAGATCTCTCACAGCTCAGTAGTCTTAGCATCATCATCTCCTCTCTGTGATTCTTATACTCTGCAACATCAGAAGTTTTGGGGAGTAGAGTAAAAACTGTATCTGAGATCTCCTACAAGTGAAAAGGAGAGCAGATTTTACTCCCTTCCAGGGATGACAAACTGCTCATTCTATTTCAGTTCCTCCTGGAGAAAGGAAGTAAGTGAGAAAAAATGATTTTATAAAAATGTTGTCTATGATGGAATAGACTTGACTTTATTTTTCTCCTGAGAGAGAATTCGTTGTTTGGTTCAAGAGTGTTGTAGATGTAGAAGTTGCTAAACAGATTAACTGAACACTACTATCAATCTCAGATTAAGATAGTAAACACATGACCTCTACCTGGTGTCCTTCAGGTCTCTTCCACATGCATAATGCATATATGTTCATGGAGGTGTAGACTTCTGAAGGAGCATGGTCATCTTACTAGCAACAGCTCTCCTAAAACTGACACCCCTCTTCCCAACAGTTATCAATTGCCTACAGCCCCTTGACCAGGGGTAGGACATCAAGATGACCTTGTCTTTCCACGCTGGGAATTTGTCTAGCTTGAACTTGCAACACTCTTGGGCTTGCTACCATGATCTCTTAGAAAGTTTATATATTCAACTGCCCTGCGGTGTAGAGAAGACAGTTTCTTTATAGTCATATAGAGCCTCTTTTGCAATCTCTTCTTCCATCTCTTTCACAATGATGGTGAATATTTGGAGAAGGATATAAGATGTAGATGTCTCATATAAGGCCAACAATTCTATGATCTCTTATTCTCTGCAACTTTACCCAGTTGTGGGTATCTCTATTGATCACCATCTATCACAAATATAGACTCAACTGCTGAGAGTTGAAAAATGCATTAAAATATGGTTATAATAATAAACTCATTAAGAATCAGTTTAATACTATTTCCATTGAGATGTATATTATTATTAGGTTCTCTATCAAAACTCTTGCCCTAAAAATAGCGTATTAACTATCCTTCAATCAATAAATGTTGTGGAACAATCGTCTTTTATCCTGTCACTTGTATTAATTTTAATAAAACATTGATTGACCAGTAGCCAGGCATTAAGTATAGGTGGGGCAGTCAGGCAGGAAGTAGAGGTGGGGCAATAAGAACAGGAGAATTCTAGGAAGAGGGAGGAGTCAGTCTGAAGGAGTCAGTCTGCAGTCATCAGCCAGACACAGAGGAAATAAGATGAGAATGCCTCACTGATGAAGGTACCAAGCCATGTGGCTAACACAGACAAGACTAATGGGACAATTTAAGATGTAAGAATTAATTAATAAGAAGCCTGAAATAATAGGCCAACTGGTTTATACTTAATGTAGACTTTTGTGTATTTCTTTATTTTTTTCTTTTATTTTTCCATTCAGAAATTTACACTTTATCCCATCCTCCCATTTCACTCTCACTCCCCCACTCACCCTCTTCCCTCCTGCTCCCTCCTTAAGAGAAGACAAGGTACCCTGCCTATGGGAAGTTCAAGGCCCTCCTCCATCCAAGCCTAGTAAGCTATGCATCCAAATAGACTAGGGTCCCAAAAAGCCAGTACATGCAGTAGAAAGAGGTCCCAGTGCCATTATCAATGGCTTCTCAGTCTGCCCCATTGTCAGCCACATTCAAAGAGTGCAGTTTGACCACATGCTCATTCAGTCCTGGTCCAGCTGTATTTGGAGAGCTCCCATTAATACAGGCACACTGTCTCAGTGGGTAGACCAACCCCTCATGGTCCTAACTTCCTTACTCATTTTCTCCCTCCTTCTGCTTTTCAACTGGACCTTGGGAGCTCAGTCCATTGCTCTGATTAGGGTCTCTGTCTCTGTCTCCATCTATCGCCTGATGAAGATTCTATGGTGATATTTGAGATAATCATCAGGGGCCAGTTCCTCTCCTCTGTTGCCCAAGGACCTATCTGGGGACATCCCCATGGACACCTGGGATCCCCACTAGAGCCAATTCTCTTGCCATCCCTAAAATGGCTCCCTTAATGGAGATATCTTCTTCCTTGCTCCTATATCAGCCCTTCCTCTACCTTTACCCTCTCACTCCCCAAAGCTCTCCCCATTTTTCCCTTCTTTCTTTCTCTCTCCCCCTGTCCCTTTCCTCCAACCAAACCCCTACCCCCACCCCATACTCCCAACTTTTTT